CAAGGAAAATGCTATAGGGCTTTTACCTTACATAAATATAATTCCATAATATAACACATAAAAATGTTGTTTTACTAAAACATACTGCCACAACTAGCAATTGGGAGTAAAAAGAAATAAGCATGTTTTATATATCATAGGGAAGAAACTGCATTCTTAGAATTGAGGTGTTAATTTTAAGATCCAAAGAGCCCATTTCAATCCTTGATACATTTTTTTTCCCTGTTTTTTTTGGGGGGTGTTGGGATTTTTTGTTGTTTGTTTGGTTTTTGGTTGGGTTTTTTTTGTATGGCAAATATGTCTGAATATGCAGTATTTTATTCCAGCTTTTGTCTTCACGAATCTTGTTTAACCAGTTTTATCTGTTATGTGCTCTGTATTACTTACATAATCTCATTTCAACTGTCTGAAGAGGCTGATAAACAATTCTGTGAACTAAAGAACATGTTATATTAACATGTTTGTTAATGTTTCATATTGAGCTTAAATCATTAGTTTGTGACCTTTACCCAGTTCTGTTACCATGGGTTAAATGTATATAAACTTAGTTAAAATAATTGCTAAAACTTTACCAACACCCCCAAATATTAAATGTAACAATGTAAAGGATTTATGAATGGGTACCAACAGGAGTCATTAATTGATGTAGTGTCATTAAGCCTGAAGGACTTTTTGTTAACTCACACTGTTTGTGTACAGCACCATTACAAATAAGTGACGTGTGGACTGAAGGATATGGAGTCACAGCATAGTCTGTATGTGTGAATTCTTCCTGTCTTGCTTCTTTCCTCATTTGCACTTACTAGCCCTATAGTGTTCAGTTATCCTTTTGCTTTCATCCCCATCACTCTAAGCTACTCCAATGCTTTTGCAAGCAGCTTTCAACTTATTTTTTGAATGTGTGAGCTAGTCACTGAATTTTAAATTGAAGCTGTGCCTTCTGCTCATGTAGACAGAACCAAAGAGAATAAGATTACTACTGGCTGTTAGCAAACAGCCTCTGTTGTACAGTTTAAACTGTCTATGCCTTTGCCACTTCCAGTTTTAGCCTATGAAGTGCAGTGATTTGCATTCAGAATTTATCAATGTACATAGTAATTTCAGTGCAGTGGTTTTCCTGTCTTCTACGGGCATGTTTTATTAAGGGAATTTTATGCAGAATGTAGTGGGCCATCTCTAATGACAGAGTGGTAAATTTAACTAGATGTTCTACATGAGTAATACTGCCTTCTAGTTGCTTGGGGCTGGTTGAGTACACTGCCTGTGTGGTAGGGCTCCATGGTCAAAGGACACAACAATCTATTTCTGCTTCAGCAGCCTCCACATATGATTTGATAGCTGCTGGCGCAAACCTTATGTAACCGTTCAGTATATGGCTAGGGATCTCTCTCCACTGGGTTCTCCCCTAATGGTGTTGCTGCAAGGTCTGGCAGAACTACGTGTATATATCCTTTCTAATGGTACCCAGGCTCCTTTCTGTCACATTTGCCTATCTTCCCAAGGGGTGGGATGCCAGATAAGACTAACAGTGGAGAGTAGAAGTTAAGAGGCACAGAGGTTTTTGATACCCTAATTTCCTGTGGCAGTATGCTACAGGATATGATGTGCATTGTGAAAAGCTATTATAATCCAGAAACTTCACTGATGCCAGTGAAGAACTCTGCCTGCAATAAATGAATATAGGCTTTTTTCTATCTAAACACAGCTGTGTAATTTGACTCCTTTGGAGAAGTGATGCTACATGTACATTTTCTACCAAAGAACATCTAAATTGTATTTGTCTGGCTTGACATTGTTTAAATCTCACTATCAAATTGAAGATAGTCATGTATTGTTTTTTCTAATGTCATCCTGAATGATATCCTGAAGGTGGTCTTCCATGCCTTATGTGTATAGTACTATTGGGTAAGGTAAACTGATAGGATAGATAGTCTTATCTGAAACAAGTTGAAAAGATGTTGAAACAATAGTATACAGTGAAATGTGCATTGTGAAGAAAATTTCTCCTGCTCTCCCTACAAGGTATGTAAGAAAACTACCCACTCTCTAACTAAAGCTCCCCATATGTACTGAGAGGTTACCTACCATCTTGAAAAAGTGTGTGTTTGAGTGTATATATTTATTGTTGGTATTTTTAAAGACATACCCCTTCCAGGTAAAAGAAAGGAATTTTGTACTTAACTTGTTAGAGAATTTATTTGGGAACAGTTCATTCGTGTGAAGGTGTAACCCTGATGCAAAAGGTCATTGGAGATCTGCTGGTGAAGTGCTGGTCACTCAGGCAGCTGGAACTTTAGGCAGGTTTTACTTAAATACCCAATTTTATTTCCAAGATTTTAAATTAGATCAATAAATATAATACTTGCAACTTGCCCTTTCTACTTCTCCACCTTTTATATATATTCACCTAGCGTGTTGCTAACTTACGAAATACACAGTGAAAAAGGAGAGGGAATACCAGTTCAGTTTCATTTTAGTGGCTGGAACAATATCCTAAGATACATACAGCGAAAGGCAGGCTGAAGCAGATCTCTAGATATGTCTGCACGACTGCATCTGTGTAGGCTGAACTTAATTTTCAACCTTTAGGTCAAATACATATAGATGTATTTATGTGAATATTTATGTATGTAGATCTGGGGGTTTTGTGTGGTTGTTTGCTTTTGTGTGTGCGTGCGCGCCTGTACTTACAAGTAACTAATGCTTCCTGTGCTGGGAAAGTAGAGCGAACCATGGTAGATGGGGTAGTGGAATCTTCAGGTACAGTGTGGATCTGCTGCTGCAGTCCTCTCTTACTGTGCAGCCCTGTGTAGGCGGTTGGATGAAAAAGAACAGACAAATCAGCATTCCTTTCCCTGAACTCCCCAGCATGCCTCAGCTGCTTTCACTCAGCTCCAGAAGGGGAAATGAGACAAAAAGGAGCCACTGGTGAAGTGCTTTCTAATTAGTAAAACTTTGCTTTATGCTAAAAGCAAGAATTAAAGGAATATATAAATGTATTGAAATTTCAGCAGGCAAGAATTTAAAGCATCAACAGAGATTTATTTCAGAGCTTTTAACTAGTTGTGTACTTGGAAGAACAAGTTTTTTCAGTGTTTTCAAAAGACCAGAACTTGTCAGCCTACTTATGCTGCCAGTTTTTGTATAATAAGTTCATTGACCCTGTAGACAGTCTGAGTGTTTTCTGAGTTACTGCTTTATCAAACTAATTTGCATGATTTTAAAGCTGTTGCTTGCTAGAGAACAATCTAGTGAGGGTGCACTTTGTAAACACCATTTTATATAACTTTGCTTGTTCCTTTTGGGGGTGGTGAGGGGAAAATCAGGATGTACAATCAAAATGAGCGTAACTGAAAAGTGATTTTCATGCTTTCATGACATAGTTTCTTACCAAACTACTCTGTAGGTTTTCTTTTGTTTTCAGCCAGATAAACACAATTTCACATGCAAAAATGTTATGCTTAAGTAACTGACGTGTAATTACTTATTGTCAGCAGATAATGTAGAGGACAAAGGAATAAGGGGATTAAAAAAGAATTAGAGAAATTAATGGATGATATATTCATGAAGGAAAAACAGTTAGAGCTGGAACTGTGTAATGGGGAAAGACTTGCCCTGTAGTTCTTCCTCTTTTTGTCCATAACATCAGCTATGGCCACTGGAGAGAATACTGGTCTGGACTGACTCGTGTGCTGTTCTGGTGTTCTTACTGTTGTTTAAGGTCTTAATGGAGAAGGCAGTGAGCCTATACAGGAGAACCAGATCTTTTTACAAAGCATTGCTTTGTATCAGAGCCTGAATGCCCAAGAGCAAGAACCATAGATTATATCTCAGATTATGTTCTTTGGAGGGGATTCTGATTGACAAGTCAATGAAGAGCAAAAATTAAATCCATCCAGCTCTTTACTGCATTAATGTTTATAAGTACATACCTGATCTGCATTATGGTATAACAGTAGAGATAGTATAGCGCTGCAGATACATACTTCCACTCATGGTTTTCACAGTAAATGATAGGGTGTTTCAGAAGATGATAGGTGGTGAGACTAAGGTGATTAGCTCTGAAAAGTTACATGCTGGAGCTGGTTACCCTGCCAAAGAAGAAATCTATCAACCACATGTGATAAATTGTGATGAGTAGTTTATTATACTTTGTCTTTGTACTGTATATTGATTGGAGTTCCTGAAAAGATACAAAGTGGATCTTTTTGAATACAAGTGCAGCCCCTGTGTGTGCTGTATGATATGCAGGTCGAGCTGCACCAGTACTACTGTAAGGTACCTCCAGTCTCTGTTGCTTGGTCATGCCTGCCCACCATCTGTTCTTCTGTACTGACACAGCACTTCGTGAACCATATTTTGAAGTGGATTGGGGCTTTTTTCCTGTAATACCTTATCCCCCTCCTTTTTTAATTTTAGTATTAAGATCTGTTTATGTTTATCTGTGTGTGTATGTATTACAGTTGATCCTGTTCCCTAAGCTGATTTAGTCTGCAGCTGCACAAATAGTTGGATGGATGTAGAGTGTTGTATGTTAGCGCTTGGAATAAGCAGTGGGGCCTAAATTTTGTGTTGCTGTGGAAGATGCTCTTCATGAATACGTTCTTCCTTAAAGGTGCATGTGGCCTTTGATGTCTGTTAAGTTTTTTAGATTACCTGGAATTTCCTAACAATGGGATTTGGTGACGAAAATTTTTTAGGGCAATGAAGAGGAAGATATTAAGGTGAAAATACGTTATGACAGGCCTGAGACTGTTAGGGTGTTGTATGTTTATGTTAGCATGTAGGTATGACAGAAAAAAAGTGCTCCTTGTGTATTCTCTCACAGTAATATGAATAATAAAAATACATGTTTGTAATGCATACAGACTTTAAGTTAAATTATTTGTTGTTTTTTAACGTTATATTCTAGCTATATTTGCTGTGGTGCCATATGAAACTTCAGTTGGAAAACAGCATCATTTTTTTTTTTTAAACAGTACATAATTTGTTTTCACTAGAGTGCTGCTCTCCTCACCAGTGAAAGAAACGCTGCACAAGAGGTGCGAAACAGTATAGAAAACCAAGTCAAAGAGCTGACTGAGGAAAATGAACAGTTGAAGAGAAAAGTTGATGAGCTAGAGAGTAAAACTGAAGAGTTGCACAAACAAATTGGTGATATGAAAGGAAAAGAAAATTCTGTGAAGGAAAAAATAAAGAGATATGAGGTAAGTTAAGAAAATGAGCCCCTCAAGTAGTCTCCTTCTTGGTTGCAAAGGATACATTACTGAACAAAAGCTGACAAAGAGGAGGATGGGCAATATCATTGGGAAGGCTAAGCAAAACCAGCAGGTTTTGAAGAAGCAGGATGCAGTTTGCTGACATGCATAGGAAAGATTTCCCCAATGAAAACCAGTGTAAAAGCAAGTCACAGCATGGAACTAGGGAGATCAGTGATAGGCTGAGTGAACATACTTTATAGCTCAGTTTGCTTGTCAGATGAAAGGCCTTGCCGCTATTTGTAAACGTATCAAATCCTATCATTGCAGGAAGAGAAGGACCAATTAGAAGAAGCTTTGAAGCATGCTGAAAAGGAGGCAAAAGAACTGCTAGTGTCAAAAAGGTCTTTGGAAAGCCAAGTAGAAGTTATGCAGGTAAGAACAAGAGCAATTTTGAATATTTAAATTTTAAATTTCCTGTTTTGTTTTTTTTTTTTTTTTTTTTACCTGAGTCACCATTGCTTTCTGCAGAGTAACATCTCATTCTTTTTGAAGTACACTTTATTTTAAAATCCAGACCTCACTGCAATGTTCAAGCGTTTCCTGGAAGCATAGCATCACCTAATTAAAATTGTTTTCTTCCTAAAGTGTTTTTTTGTGTGTTTGGGTTGGTTTTTTCTAACTTCCATAGATCTAGCAAAATTTCAAGGAGATGAATCACAAAATAAACTGCCTAAGGTTTTATAAATCTGTTTTATTATTTTGAATCATCGGTCAACTCTGGTTGTGTGTAGGTATTTGTATATAAAAGTATAAAGCTGTACTTGGAATGAATAAAAATATTGGTAGTAAACAAATATCAGGAAATTGGCTTATCTTTATTTTTACAAGCCTGTCTTATTTGCAAATGTTGCATGGAACTGGTATATTTAATAATTATTATTGAACTAACTAAAAGCAAACCCAGCAAAACTAATTTCTCTTTGAAACAGGTCAGTTATTTAGGAATTGCATTTTCTATTAAATTAATTTGATTGCAACTTCACAACACTTTCTGATTTTTAGTAGTTATTTGTTTTATCATACTTCTCAGTAACAAACAGTGGAGAATATGTTGATGAAAATGGGGAGGCGCAATACATGAAAAGTACAGATTTTTCTTTTCAGGATGCCAGAATATAACTCAGAGCAGAAAAAGCTAAATTTCAATCTCTGGTGTCTTGGTCTGCTACATACCTGAAAATCAGGCAAAAATTAGCATGATCTGATGAAAACTGAGGTGATCCACTGCTTGCATCAAGCCCCCTATTTAGTATTTTCTTTAAGTATTGCAATTTATACCTGTTATTACTTTGACAGTTACCCTAGTTGGTAGATGAGATTTCTTCTCATATTAGTGATTGATTTTTGTTTGGTTGTTTGTTTTTTTGGTTTTTGTTGTTGTTGATAACTCTGAAGTAAGGAGAGTGACCAGATTTGCTGATGTTTACTTCCCTTTCCAGCATGCTGGAAATGCAGACCAGCATCCTGCTGGTACTGTTACTCTGCCACAACGTGTTTAACTGATCTGTGTCTATGCAGTTCATTTCTCAAGGATGTGTAAACAAACAGTAACGTTCAATGATCTGTGACAGGCTGATGGAGAGGGGGTCACATGAGGTTTTTGTAACTTGTTCAAATATGGCACATTAGCAGAGGCCCAAGGCTTCAACAGCTTTTAGAACTGAAGTGCTAAAGTTGAACCTTTTCAAGGTTCTTCAAATCCTTTTGTGTTGGCTAAACCAATTCTGGTGTAGAATTAGGCTTTGCAAAACAACATCTATTAGCCCCCAGCATGTTTTAGGGTTATGTAGACAGTGCTTAGGCATCCACCCTAACTCTTGTTTGTATCAGAGATGTCTTTTGTTGACGGGTGTACAGGAACATAAGAGAGAGAATGAATTTAAAGAAATCTCTAGCTTCTAACTTTTGATGATATTTTTTCTTTAATAACAGAACAATTATTTTTTGAGATTCTGATCTATATTGCCTACAGAAATACTGCTGTGTTTTCACGTTTAAAGTTTTTTGAAGTGTAATAAGCGTCATAGGTATTAGATATTCAACAAAACTTTAGATTTCTAATATTAAAATATAAAATGATGTTTTGAAATGCTTTTTAAAATTGATGGTGATTTAAATTATTTACATTTTTCTGTTGGAGCAGTTTAAACTGTCCATAATCTGGTTTTCATCAATTTAATGGTGCCTCTCAGACTTCATAAAAACATAAAAACCCTTTTTCTAGTCTCTTAGTGTCTATTTACAGTAGGGCCATTAAGGTATTTTATTATGGAGGGAGAGGAAGAGGTGAGAGTCCCAACATGCAGATGGAAGATAAGCTGCTTTTCTTGTATTAGAATGAACTTGTGACAGTCAGTTATTCTGCTGATGGACGGTATTTAGAAGTTGGAGGGTGGTAAGTTCTTAAATATCCTGAATGTGAGATAGCAGATGCATTTGGAGCTCCGGGTAGATAAGCATACAGCATAGCTTTGTAGTTCATTAAAAAATTAATCCAGATAGTGAAGGTCTGGTTTGAACTTTAATGGCAAAAGTTCTTTCAGGAAGGGGATTTCTGTGTTAGGAGCTGCAAGGTTCTGTTTGCACAGCATCTGTCACAATGAGACATCATCTTGATTAGGGTTTCTGGGTGCTGTAGAAGCACAGCAATAGGGCAAAAAAATAGCGCCATTAGTTATTTCCCACTCATCATAGGAACAGATTTATGGTTTATTTTATTTTTTTATCTAGGAAAAAAGGTAGTTGTTGAAAAAACTTTTCAGGGATCATTAAAGGGAGCAATACAGGAAAACGTGAAACCTGAAAAAGGTATTGAACCTTGTGCAGGAAAGAGTATTTGCTGACATGTGCAATTGCAGAGGAATGTATGCTTTATACGTAGTAGAATCATGAAGAGGGTCTGTGTTTGGTCCTACAAATGTTGCAACAGTGTATTAGGAATTTATAGGAAGGATAAAGCACTGCATTGCTAAAATAATATTTGTCCTATACTGGCTAGCAAATTGTAACTCCATAAACTTTTTATTTTAATTTAAGTTTGTGGTATTACTACTGCACAGAGTGTGTTATACAGCATTCCTTTAAGGCATTAGAAAAGAGGTCTACATTTCATTATAGATATTTTTTTAATCTACTGTAGGAGAACATCCGTTGTATTTCGCAGGAACGACAACAGTTAACTCAGCAGTTAAAAGATGAAACTCACCAGAAGGAACAATTAAAGCAGATAAAGAATGAAATGGAGAACGAACGATGGCAACTGAACAAGACTGTTGAAAAGTTACAGGAGGAGGTATGAGTTCCCTCCAAAGAGGGATCTGAATATCTAACAGACAGCAGCAAATGAGCTGCCAAAATGTAAAGATTTTTTTTTTTTAATGTGTAAAAGAAAGTGAAATGCAAACTTTACTATTAGTGTCTTTAACCTAGAGACTATCAATTAAAGCTTTCAGGGCTGGAACAGTGGTTGGAACACTGCTATCTCAAAATACTGTTGCAAAACAGTTCTGGTTTGTTTAAACAACATCCCAGATTTCAGTTCAGTTCTAATGTATGCTGCAGCGGTATTTCAGAACTTTACAGCTGATTCTCAAAATGCTTCTGCATTAGACTTATTTTGCCATCTGTGTGTAAACCATACAACTTAATATTGATATACTGAGGTGTGACTGTGCAGTTCATTACATCAGTCAGCTGGAAGAACTGCTGACAGACAAAGAGAATAATCTCGCCGCACATGAAAATAAACTTACTGTTTTCTGCTTTCACACTTCTGCATAGAAATTAATTTGTTTGGGAACATGTTTGATAAATTCTCCATTTGAAAATACTGAGCTGAATATTGAAGCTGGAGAAAAAACTTTTTGGTGTATTAAGCATGACAGGATCTTTTGTAGCACTATTTTATGAAAAAAATTATATGTACTTTTTTCCCAGATGTCTGAAATGGTAGAGGTCTCAAGAACATCAACTCTGGAGCTTCAGAACCAGCTTGATGAATACAAGGAGAAAAATCGCAGGGAACTTGCAGATGTGCAGAGACAATTAAAAGAGAAAAACCTTGAGGTAGAAAAATCACGCCTGACAACCATGAGAATGCAAGATGAGGTAATGACTCATAAGTTCGGTGACAAATTATAACCTTTAGCCTAGAATTCAGCTCAGATAGTTTTCAAGACAATGAATGTTTGCTTTTGTGTACTTCATCATGAGACTGATCTCAGTCAGCATGCTTTTGAGTTTCATTCTTCATGATGATGATCAGCATGTTTCTTCTGCCAGGCAAATGGGGTTTCCTGTTTACGGGAGATAACTGCAATGTTTGACAAATGAATGTATCTTAAGTTATATGACAAGGATTCCATTGATGATCTGCTGCTCTTTTAATGCCTGCTACTGAAGGAATGGAGAATGTGGAAATATTCTTGAATTGGAAGGGGAAAAAAAAACCCAGCAGTTGTTTAGAAAAAAGAAGAAAAACCAAAACCAAATTCTGCCTCTAGAGGAGCTGACACACATTGTCCTCTTCCTCTGTAGGAGCCAAGTTGCAGATTTAAATGACAAAGGTGTCTGTGCAACCAAGAATCAACAACTGTCTTGAAGCGTCTGTCTCTTAGCATGTAAATTTTGCTATAAAGGCAATTGGGTCTTTTAAAGATCTGCGTATGGAAAAGCTATGAGAATACACTGGTCACAGATGTTTTCTGTGTGTAGAATATTTTAATAGTTTGATTTTTCCAGTTAAGAACTTCTCTTATGTTGCTGTCTCCCCTTAACAAACTTGTTTCAAACTCAGTTTAAAAAGAACAGCAGTGGAAGAAAGTATGGTTCCTCTATATTATTCTGTCTTTTTTGTTTATTCCATTCAGGGATAGAGAACCTTTGTAAAGGGATGAAGACTCATAATGGAATGTGAAAGATAAAACTGGGGTGTTGAGAACATGGCACTTCAGTTGAATAAAGGAAAATAGCTTAAATAAAAGATACATGTGTGTGTATGTATGTAAGTATGTATACACACTGTGTTTACAGTTATGAAAAATACTTCTAGTGTTATCTATTACAACTACAGAACAAATGCAAAGAAAAAAATTCAGAACAAAAGAAACCTTCATTATTTGACAAAAAGATAATCCAAACACTATATAAAGGACAAATTATTACTGGCTGTGGAATGCTACATCTCCATGAGGCAACATTTAAAACCCTAGGGCTTTAAAAATGTAGTATGGTAACTAGCCACAAAAGAGGCAACACAATCTGAAAATATAGGATAGGCAGGTTAAACAGCAGACTTTCTAGAGAGACTAAATATTCAGGACCATTGAAAGTCTTTATTATTTCTTCCTCTTTTGTGTTTAACAAGAAGTACAAATAGATAGTCCTTCCATTCAATGAGAGAGAGTCTGTCAAAATCATCTTGGGGAGGTGTTACAGTGTGCAAAACGTTATTTTTGAGAGTCTCATCAAAAGCTAAGGATTGTAGTGATCATGGCAACATGAGTATGGTCTTGTTCTAGCAGAAGAATTATGAAACAGTCTTGCAAGGCAATGTGGGAGCTTTTCACTGCTGTGTCTCTTGGAAGTTTTCTGTGGATACATAAAAGTACCTGTCTTGAAAGCTGTCAGTCCAATGTCATTCTGAAATGTTAAATGCTTATGAGATGCTGTTAATATACAGATCTCTGCACTTAATTAGTTGTTCACCAAGTCATGCAGATGTCCAATGTTTTGTTGTCAGGACTTAACAATAGGTAGCAAACTCTGTAACCAGTCATTAATACATTATTTTAGCTTCATCACTGAAATAAGCACTTGATTAAACAGGAAGAATATGGAAGACTGCATGCTGAAGAAAAAAACCCCTTATTATATGTTATATACATGTCACAAGTTAAGTTACAAGTATAACGAATTATCACAGTCTCACGTAAAACCCCTCTCATGGCTTTATATTTTTTAAAAAGTACTGTGAAGGTTTTAAACAATTTTATTGAGTACACACAGTTGTTAGAATAGGAAACTTCGGTTTAGAAAACTCTCTCAGCAGAGAGCCCTGCTATGTCTAAAAGTTACACTAGTATGTGTATGTGTGTATATATATATGTTGGCAATTATGTCATTGGTAAAATACTGTCATTGAACTGCCTCAGACATATAAACTACACAATTATTTAAAAGCTAAATTATTGGTAGTCTGAAAAGGAAAGGAATAATATTGCAAAAGAATCATAGAATCATTAAGGTT